TAAAAATTTCTCAACGACATTCGCACTCACAAATGTGCGACTTAATTTGCTTAACTCGATTTATCGTAAATTTCATTATCGTAAATTTAATAAACGTACAACAAAATTAATCTATTCTTCCATACATATTATTTTCAGAGTTAATTTCCCGAAGGGAGAACGGTAATTGATAACAACAATATTCGCGCGACGAGAAAAGTTTCATCTCGCCCACATCTGATTTACTAATTGCATTATCGCGGGTTTGCATTATCTTCGCGGCGTGGCGTATTACAGGCGATATGCGATATAGGTAAATCGTAAAATTATAGTTCACGCGTGATTCGTACTCCTCCGCTATAGAGAGCTTGCAGCTCGGTCGTTTATTTGGTGGTTAGCCAAGTTTGGTATGACTGGCTCGTCTTCAGTTGAGTTTCTCTCGCAGCTCGACGGAGAAACGAGGACGACGAGGGGGAGGGGAGAGGTCTCGGGGCCGGGAGGCAGGGGGTCGCGAAAAGGGATTTCGCAAATTGAATGACTTGGCCTGTTATATGTTATCCGAGACTTCTTTGCTTTATGCCACGTAGAATCGGGCGAACGAGCGCAGATTCTATTATAGACAAGAAGTCACCCGCGGCCGCTTAGCTACTATCCCCGATGCCGTTTCCACATGTATTATGCATGTCCGGGCAAATTTCATCGTCTGTCGCGCGATGAGGGCGGGAGAGAGGAGGAGGGGGGGGAGAAGCGTCGTCTTATTTATTATTTACGTTCCCTTTAGCCGATAAACGGGCGATCCTAACTTGGCTATCTTGAGAATGCCGACGTCCCTCCTCCCCGCGACGCGACTCAGAATTAAACTGTGCTGCAGCCCGTATTAATTTTTCAAGCGGGATTATATCCCGCCGCGCAATTTATATCGGGACGAGAAACATCGCGCGTATATCGTTACGTGAAGTCTTTTAATTCCGCTCGCACACCGCGCGCAAGCTCGTTACAGACACGCCATGCAAATTACGCGCGAACATTATTTATGATTTTTTTTTTTGCGCGAAAATATCACGTAGCGCGTAAATTGCAGCGTAATAAGATATCGATGATAATGATATGCGGCGCACTGCAAAACTATAAACCGATATATGAAGTCTGCACATCACACGAAGCAGGAAGGGAGGGGGGGGGAGGGGGCGCGGGGCTGCAATAATAATTAAATTTATTTATCAAATCTCGGCAAAATTACATAATGATGTATCAATCTAAAAGATTTACATGATATATGATATGTATATATATTTCTTAATATATAATGTGCAAAATATTATATAAATATGAGATATTACAACATATAATTGTTTGTAATATTCGTAATCACACATACAAAATCACACATCCCCGCGCACAGATGGACAAAATAAAATTATCGATCGATGTCATAATCATGAAGAATTCATCCTTTTTCTCCACTAATATAGCTATCTCTTTCTGAACACGCCGCTCATCACTGTACCGGAATAAACCTGGTCTTAATAACACAATTTCACTTCTTGCAACAGGATTACCTCGAGGATAGCTATCCGCCATAGCTTTAGAAACAATTACCGATCTTTGATATTGCACTAAATATTTCATCGTTGTAGCATACTGTTAAAGGGTAGCTTTAAGGGTACTTAATCGTCTGTTGGTTGGGGCTTACACGAAACTTACGATGCACAGAACTAGATTATAGTCAGTCTCGTAAATGTAAATCCTTAACGAGTTGCTAGATAGAACGAAATAAAAACTTCTCTCGCTGACCTAGATACTAAGTTGCGATACTTGAGCTAATTCCCGGGCTTTGCTCTTATCATCCCGACGGTTGTAGACAAGCGTTGTTTATCAGAGCGATGTCAGTTTTACCGCGGGGCAGGATATCCTCAAATATCCCCGGCGCAATCAAGTTTCTCCCTCCCCCTCCCCTACTTCTTCATCCTCTCTTCTTTTCGTGCCGATCTCGTTTCACCCTCTTCAACAACTTTCTTCCTCTCGGCGATATTCCGGGAGCCCGAAAAACGCCCCCCCCCCCCCTCCTATCCCGGCGCGTCCGTTACGAGATAGGAAAAAAAAAAGAGGCGCCCGATTTCCCGGAGAAAATGACGCGCGCCGCCATACGGGATATTACTTGCCGCGGATGTTAACGTCCGTTGCATTTTTTTGCGGACGCGACGGGATGTGCGGCCCTCCGGGATGGCGGGGGGGGGAGGGCGGGGAGGAGGGGGGAAGGGGGCAGTAGAGCGGCTTTGGACGTATAGTTCTGTGCCAGATAGCGGGATGCTGTAAATCTGTGCATTATACATGACAGTGAGATCAGCGCCATTTGTTATTTCCCCGGACGGAGCGCGGAAAAAGAGACGTGAAAAATTACCGGAGGGCGCGGTAAGCACTTACCGAAACGAGGATATTGGGGAAATTTCTGGACACACACATTTCCGCGCCCCTGCCCCCTCCGTAAGAGAGGAGAGGGACACTTGGCAGAGAGATCTCGCGATGTGAACGGGACGATCGAAATTATCGTTGGCGCAATGCGTAATATCCCGCCCTCCGATGCACGCGTTACCCCCTCGATTCGTGCGCTCTGGCACGGGGTTAACGGATAACGATCGCAAATTGTTGTTAGTTCGCCGCCATGTGTAAATGTTTCCGGCGTATCTATCCGCGAACTAGGTTTTCCGCGTACAAGGTGCTTTTGCGTCCGATTACAGGGGTTACATACATTATATGAGGCACTCGCGGTTAATTTGACGGGCTAATCTAGTATCGATTTTCAATCGACGGCGGAGTTATGCGTGTGTTAGATGAGAATTTCAGAGTCGATTACGAAGGCGACGCTTTGTTTCTCGTTTTAGAGGGAAACATCGCGATAACGCGGCGAACAAAATGGAGACCGTCGCCTTTATTTTATGAATTACATTTTTAAAGCTGAACTTTTATTTTCTATAAATTATTAAGTTGTCTAAAGATTACTTTATACTACTTATTCATATCAGTGATTATATTTGTGAAAAATAAAATAAATTAATCGTGTCTTCAGCGTTTTTTTTTTATTTTGATATGAGATCTTTTCTAAATTGTTCGAGACTGTAAATTAATAAGAATGCCTGAAACGATAGTTACAACGTATCTTTGTGAGAGTTTTAACGAAATATTAATGGTCTTGGCATTATTTATCTTGTCGCCTAGTAAATTTCCCAGGTCTTAATTCTATCGCAATAGACTAAGAACACTGTGCTTTCACGTGAAATACGAACTCGTCGAATTACTTGTTTTGCGGATAAATTTACCAAGGAAGGATGTGCCATGCTGTAAGAAATAAACGCGCCGTTGGCAAACATATCGTTTTCTTGTTACCCCCAACTTTCTTTGAAGAATAGTTCACTATATTTCTTCGCTTGAGAAATGATACGAGGAAAATATACATCGAGATAAAATGAGCATGAAGAAATATCGTTAACGTAACAAAGGTACACATGATAAAATTAATGTAATTATTATTTAAAAAAAAATAACGCGAATAACTGCAATTTGCGATATTTTCAGAACGATTTTCAGCAATTTTCAAAGAATGTGCGTCATTTATTAAACATGTAATTATCTCGAATGTTCTCATTTTGATGTGAATTTTTCATAATTAATATCACATAAGCATTCGAAAATTTCATCCTTCGTATGCGAACACGTTCCAGATAGTTTGCGATGATTTATATTAATCAACTTGATTGCCTCGTCGAAAGGCAACAACGTCAAAAAATCACCAGGTGAAAATGTCGAGCAATACGAGGAGATTCGTCGTCGGTTTAATTAGCCAGGCGCAGTAAATTTAGCCGGGACGTATAGACGCAAATTTAATATCCACTCCTCTTTCGCAGCCAGTTTGTCATTTCCCTCTTTTTTTATCACGAGTGGGTGGCGTTATTTATCCCCCGCGTGGCATACGAAAAAAAAAAAAAAAAAAAACAGAAAAAAAAAGAAGTTGACGTACAAACTGCGCCGTGTCGGACGTGTCCCGGGAGGAGCCTGGCGATGCAGACAGCGCGAAATCTGAAAACGCGAATAAGCGTGCAGGTGTCCGTAAATAAATCTGCATCGAGCTTGTGCGGCAAACCGGCGAACGTAAAAGGTAGTTACGCTTTCGCCGAGTTTACCCGGCTCACAAAGGTCTTTCAGCTAACGGGGCGGATTTTATTCGAAACATTTACTGCAGCCTCATGATACAGGGATATCATTCGTATAATCGCGCCGCGGTACGTGGCGGTATAAAGCGCGAAGAATGTTTCCGCGTTTGCGCGAACAAACACGATAGGATGTGATAAATGTTTTCTAATTGCCTGGATGCAACGGCCCGAGAGAAGCCGTGCGTGCCGGTGCTTCAACGTGCTTCGGCTTTTATTTATGCCGCTTTAAGCGCTCGTACAATTAAATTATTTCAACATTACCGTGACCCCGTTGATTGTAACGATAGTGCTACATCACTACGGTTGAAGAAGAGGAATTTTGATAGAGTATTTCGTAATGCGAAATTAACACGCAGTTAATATCATTAAACTGTCGGTCATTAAAGGGATAATTGGAACCGCGCGGGTTGATGCAGTAGTTTCTATCGGGCTTTGAAGTGTAATTCTATAAATACAGGTGCATACTAAATGTCATGTGATATTCAGATGAATTTGCGTCACGACGCAAAGTCTCGAATGATGTCTCGCCGCATTCATCGTATTTTCTCTCGATACTTTTAATCAGGCGATTAAAAACTATCGAGACATTTATGAAAAAGTTATAGAAAAAGTTTTTTAGGAGAATTAACTTTCAAGCGTGCAACCGAACAACAAATCTTTACTGTTATTTCAGTTAATTTTATTATTATATTTCGTTCATTTATTTGTGGTCTCCCAGCGATTTTTTTCAATCTCTTTACAGTCATCACACTCACAGTCATATCTTTTTCGACAATGAATGATAACGACGTTATCTGTTTCTGTCGCAGGGCAGTTCCAGTCCAGAAGGAGTTCATATGGAATGGCATCACGTGGACCGTCGTTGCCGTCGACGCTGCCGATCGCGATAGCGATGGCCGCCGTGATGACAGTCGTGGCTAGTGGCCTCTGCCCGGCGCGATGTCGATGCGATGATGAGAGCTTACGGGTCTCGTGTGCCTATGCCGGCCTCGAGGTCGTGCCGATCCAGCTGAACCCGGAGATCCGCCACTTGGACTTGTCGAACAATCGCGTGACCAACGTGCACCTAACCTTCGGCTTCTACGGGAATCTGGAGAGCCTCGACCTGAGCGCCAATCTCCTTCACACGTTGGGCCTGGCGAATTTTGGCATGCAACAGAATTTGGTCGCGCTCAACGTCAGCAATAACATGATCCACACGTTGGCGAGGAACGCCCTGGACGGGCTGACGTCTTTGAAGGAATTGAATCTGGCTAGTAACAACATCTCGGAGATATCCGAGCAGGCGTTCAAGTCCACCAGCGAGCTGGAGGTGTTGGACCTGAGCGACAATTCGATCACGAGCCTGTGCAACGAATTGTTGAAGAATCTGCATAAAATACGGACTTTGATTTTGAAGAAGAACTCGCTGTTAGAAGTGCCGACGAGCAATCTCGCTCTGGCGCCGAGCCTCGAGCGCGTAGATTTATCGGATAACCTGATACTGGAGCTCGACCGTGACTCCTTGCCGTTATTACCGTCGCTAATCTCCCTAAATCTGTCGAACAACGTCATCAGGTATATCGCCGACGTCGCCTTCGACCGTCTGCCGGATCTCCTGTATCTGGATTTATCCGGGAACAATCTGACTTCCGTGCCTACGGCCGCCCTGGCCAGATTGAACGTTCTGACGGGCCTCGTTTTAAGCACGAATCCCCTCGGATCCCTGAAGGCCGTGGCCTTCCGCAATCTGTTTGAGCTGAGGATCTTGGAGCTGAACGATTGCACGATCGGCAGCGTGAACGCGCGGGCGTTCGCCGACAACGTGAACCTCGAGCGCATCTCGATGGACGGTAATCGGGAATTGAGGGAGCTGCCGGCGCGAGTTCTCTACGGAGCTCGATACCTCAAGTGGGTCTCGCTACGTCGATGCAGCCTGGAGACCCTGCAGCCGACGCAGTTCCCCGTTGACGGGTTATCGCATCTGCGGGTGGGCGGCAATCCTCTGGTGTGCAACTGCTCGGTACACTGGCTGTGGAACGTGATCCGCGCGGAGGAGCGACGGAACGAGACGCGACTCGAGCTGGACACCCACGACATCGTCTGCAACGACGAGGAGTTCGCCGGCAGGGCGCTGATCGCGCTGTCCGAGGGTTCTCTGCGTTGCCGCCTGAGTCCCCTGTATCTATCGCTGTCCGCCGCCGGTTGCTTCCTGGCGGCCGTCGCCGTGCTCACCCTGATCGCGCGGCTGACCCGCGCGAAGAGGAAGAGACGGTCGCTGGCGTACGCGGCGCCGAGTCGTCCCGAGTTCCTGGTCTACGTCGGCAGGAGCGACAACGGGCTGGACAAGAGCGCCGAGTCGTACAGCCGCCGGCTGCTGGCCAGGAACAACGAGGACATCTCGTACGACACGCCGCGCGGCAAGGTGCCGGCGTCGACGACGACGATGACGACGGCGGATTACAGCCCGCAATCGCGGGAGACGAACATCTACGAGACGCCGCGGTACGCACGGCCGGGACGTCGCGACACCGTCGAGCCTACGTCGCAGAGCAAGCAACTTCCGCTGGAGGAAGGCGTGTACGCGGTCGCGGATGTGACCGACCTGCGGGACGAGCCGCCGGAAGTGCTGTCGCTTTATCGGGCGCGCAGTCCTCTCGCCGCCAGGTCGAATGCTCTGCGGCGGTTGGACTACGGTTACGATTACGAGTACGATTACGATTACGAGCCGACGGCGCCGCCGTCGCCGCCGCCGCCGCCGCCGTCGCCGCCGCCGCCTCCGCTATCTGAGAAACCGCACGTCGTCTTGTGTGAGGGGACCCCGGGCGGTCGAAGATCGTAACGCGTAAACCGGAGGGTCCAGTTGCGGCGGTAATCAGCGAATCGGGGGCTAGTCTAGTCGTTAGACGGAACCGGATACGCCGTCGACTCCGTCGTATCGCGGGCCTTTAACTACTCGAAACTGTCTCGGGATTATTGCTCGGATCCTCAGAATCTTGATGAACCCGATACATTGCGTAGACCAGAGAGGATCAGAGAGGGTAGCCGCTGGAATCCGAGATAGCCGCGAGAATGCCGCAAAAGGTATAAGAGGTATACTCCACTCAGCGAGAGTCCCGGATCCGTCATTTGACCGCGAAGCTTACGCGACGTACGATATCATTTCGGAAACGATTGCGTTGGCTCTGCCTGTCTCGTATTGATCACGTCTTATTGCGTACGAAGACCAACAAAGGTGCATTCAACACGGCTAAACGGTAACGTTAGAGTTCACGATGGGTATAAAAAGAGAGAAAACGAGGAAGAGGAGAAGAGGAAGAAGGAAAAGAAAGAAAAAAAAAAAAAACCGACGTTCACCGTTTCGGACAGTTTGTGCCGCAGTAAGACACCGGAGTGGCGTCGAGATCGCAGGTGGACATTACTTTCCACTTTTGGCGTTGAAAGGATGATTGATACCATCGTCGTCGTTGGTTGTTGTCGTCGTCATCGTTGGGAAAGCGGATTATCCGAAATTCTGTTGCTCGAGCGAGAACGGGTGGGGTGCGGTGTTTTTGGCTCGTAAGAAATCGGGCGGGGTTACGGCGCGCGACATGCGCTGAAATTATCCCCCCAGGACAAACAGAAGCAACCGTGGACGAGTGAAAATGAAATGTCTTCCGAGATA